CACATTTTTCAGCGTTGACTATTTTAACAATTGAATATAGCTAAGATGGTGTTATATCCTCGTCCTAAATATAAATTACTTCTATTTTGCCGAGGAGGAAGCAGAAGAGTCGATGAGTCATCACTCGCCGCGAGCCGCGTGGTCCCCCCCAAATACGTTAGCACCATAGGGCGACCCACTTTCCCTGGGATACGGGTCACTGCTATGGCTTTGCTATGGCAATGGGCCAGCTTTTCTCCCGCACTCTCGCAGCGTTTATTAGGTCTCTCAGAAGATTGTGACCGGGTAAATGAGAAGAAAAACAGCTAAGCGAGCGACGGGAAAGGGCGAATGAACGTTTTTCCCAGAGGAAATGAGAAGGAAGAAGAGAGTTGGATCTTAAAAATCACCTGAAATCGGAAGTCTCGCTTGGGACGCGCGGTACTTGGTTGGGAGGATTCACATCCAGACCACTCGAAGGCCGGCGTCGAGTTGTTGTTATTGACGCAAACTTCCATCATCGTATTTAGCACTGAAAATGAACCAGGAATAAGATGACATCAAGTTGTTATCACATAAAAGACGTGAAAATACAGACGACGACTGTAACTAGGCGACGCACATTCGCACATCATAAAAGCCGGAATGGGGAAAGGAGATTATCAAAGATTAATCGCTAAAGACATTGGGAATCATTGCGAATCGATTATCGTCACAGCAAGTTCTCACAGGGGCCCAGAAATCGCCGCTATTTGAACTGTTTAGGAGAGAGAATCGGGGAAAACTGCCACTCTAGGAGAGAGAATCGGGGGAAAACTGCCACCGTTTGCAGGCACTTCACACTTTTTTCCGATGCATTGAGAGAAATTCTCAGCGAAAAACTCCCGAGGAAAAAGAGCCAATGAGAAAAGGGAAGAGATCTTTGAGAGGAACAAAAAACATGAAAAAAAACTATGAGATGATAGATTGCCCCGGATGACCAAGTGGACCACCCAGGGAGAGTGCAGGATACAGAATGTAGGCATGGAATATTCCAGGGTAGATCAAATACGTACCAAAGATCATGGGCGAGAATGCCCTCGAAGGGGATTTCCCGAACGGCAAATGATGGAAAACGGCGAGCCCCGCATTTGCACTTTTCACGGGGGTTTTTCTCAGGCGGAACGAGACAAATGAGCTCGCCGACATGACACTGCGCACAGCCCCTTCTCTCAACAGCAGAATGGCAAAGGTGGTGGGGGAATATTTGACGGTGCGAGTACAACGGGTAATTGGTGAGATATCATGTAAAATGTAGAGAGTAGTAGAGAAATGGTCAGCAATCACGTGAGAGTATGTAGTTTGTAGAGAGTGTAAAGAGTCACACAACATCGGCATAAACAGCCACATACCGTATGCGCGCTCGATGCGAGGTCGTGACGAGAAAAGCTATTAATTAAGAATATGGAACACATTTATGGCAAGTGGTGAAGCAACGATACCAAGCGTTCTATCGTCAAGAAAAGGCGAAATAAATGGATTAAAATGGAGCAAAAATCTATGAAATATTCAGGAAATAGCTCAATAATGTTAGCTGTGAATGATAAATGTGCCGAATAAACGATACAAAATGCGCCCAGTCGGCGTAGCGAGTCTGAAGATCTATATGAAGACGAATTACCCTGTCGTCCACGACGACGATCGCGACGGCGACGGAATCCCAGACACCAGCTGTCGTGACCGCATCGGTCGCATCTCCTCTTCAACTGGTAGGCTGGGCCCACCGTCTCCGCCCTTTCGTCGGGCGGGGGCATTCCCTTCGGTCCGTCCCCTTGACGTGCGCCGTTTTCCCCCTCCGCCCAGCGCTTTGCTCCGTCCTCGCTGTACCGCCCCGATCCCGCCCACCGTATGTCCTCTATCGATAAGCCCCGAGCGGGGGGAGCGAGTGACGTTTCAAAGGCAGAGAGATGAACATCGAGAAATAGCGCTACAGTAGAGGCAATGAATGGGTTGAAGGTAAAAGCAGTAACATAACAAAATATGGATTAAGTGCAACAAAGCAGTAAGTACAATATGGATCAGCGCCAAGGAGTAATAAAGTGCAACAAAACGGGACGAGTACTTTTGAGGTTTTTGCCTGTGCTGCTGTGAGCAGCCACATAGTCCTTTTCGAAAGAAAGTAATCATAGGGGTCAAAGCAGGTTTTCGCTGAATCCTCAGTTCTACGTACTTTACGGCAAACTACCCTGAAAACGGTCACACGGAACGATGAGCTGAGGAAAAAAGCTCGAGTTAATGGGAATTTTGAACCTGATAGCCTTCGTACCAATTACCCGAGAGTTTTTAAGGCTTCCTTTGATGTGGGTCGAGGACGACCGGCGACTAAATAACAAGCTGTTAATTAAGTTATCTACTAGTTTGTGCCATGCGTATGACTATTATGCTGGACTACGAAAGCATTTCAATGCCATTTCACCAATGAGTTTTTCCGAAGCCCGACGCCGCAAATAACCAATCTTCAGTGTGGAACATCTTCATCGCGGCTTACCGAGGCTCCGCACGCAAGATTATCCGGTTTTGTGGTGCCACGACCGCGGGGGGGGGGAACCTATTTGTTAAGGCGTCGACGCTGATCCCTCTGCAAAGTGTGCGTGATGAAAAAAACGGTGCTCGCTAAGTTTCGCTATGAGGAGGGGGTCCTTTTGTAAAATATTGTAAACTTCCCGGATAAACTTGTAAAGTTTTGTGGAATAAGGCTAACAAACGAAGAGTCAGTTTCTTGATTGCTGTCAAGTTACCCCAATCCTACCCCCGAGGCTATGGAGAGCGCTTAAGGCACTGAAACCATGAGAAGCAAGCTTACCAGACATTTATCACAAAAGTAACTCTCAGTTCCACACAACGCTACTTCCTCCCCGAATGGGAAAACCACGGCTCTTAGCTCGGTAAGACTTAGCTCATCGCGCACCGCGGCTCACTCCTCCTCAGAGACTCAGGTGCGGAGCAAAAAGCGTCTCCACAGTTGTTTTTCTGCGCACCCTCGGCCACACTAAACGCCGAACACAGCCGCGTCACCAAACATTTTTTGCAATCATGATCGCAACCCCACTCGCAGAATTCTTCTCTAATACGGACACTTCCCCTCCCGCCGAGGGTACCGTTGCCATATTCCTGAATCCGGTCCCAACTTCGTAAAACACTGGTTCCCGGAGCTTTTCTATCCCAAACAGCTGCGAAGGGAAGACGGACGCGTGGGGGTATAATTGTCACTACCGAGAACAGCTCAACAGACGGAAAATTTTCTCTTTGCCAGATACGACGAAACTCCTTCCATGCAACGCTGAATAGGACCCGGATGCAGACCTACCGAAGAAAGAGGCGGCGGCCCTCGGGACGCCATACCAACAGGGGGGATGCAATAAAGATGGGAGCGTGCTGCAAATAAAACCACTGGTAAAAACCGGGTCGGCTTAAAGAGTTCACAGGACTTGACAAATTAGAAAACGATCTCAATGACAGGACTTCACAAGGTATTCGGCACGTAGACAGGACTTTGCAAGGTAACCCGGTACGTCGACAGGAATTTACAAAATGTTCCAGACCCCCATAACGGCCGTGGACTTGCCGAAAAAGGTACTAAAATCGGTACATATAATCAAATTCTGAATAAGAAAGGGTAGCGGCTGGAAAAAGAGCGAGAATTAAAGGAGAATGTTGGTAGGTTTCTCAGCAGTTCCAATGTTCTAATGCATAGCATTTAGAAGAGCATTTAAAATTCCTCAAAAGTAATGAAAAGCATGAAACTATAATGAAGGTTGAATGCGTTGGAAAATTCGATTTCGATGCGTTTATAGGCATTTTTCGGTCCCATTTGAGGGGACGAAACGAATGACATGAGATGAAAAGTTTTCGATTATCCAGCTGTTGTAGCCAAATATCGCCCACGTTCAGTAGCATCGTTCACGTGAGAGAAATCTATCTGGGAGGCAAAAAAGGAAAGAACGAGGTGGCCAGACAGGATCAGATGAATGGCGAAGGATGAATAAGACGATGAAAGGGAAAAACAGCGTGAGAGCCAGTTGTCGGGGAAAGGTGGGAATGGTCGAGAAGTCGTACCGGTACCAGAAAAATTTGTACATTCCTACGATCCTTCCAAGCTGTGGAGAAGGCAATCCCGCCGGAGGGTAAGCCAGTAAAACTAGTTCATCATCTTAGTCTGCTGGAGTTGAAGAAGCACCTTCCAATCAACACAATGCCGACGTGGTTCATGGAAAGCCGTACATGGCAGGTCTTTTCCAGCAGTACCGTTTCGAAGTTCATCATAGGAACTTAAGGTCGCCAAAGAAAGAATTGACGAATTCTGACACTCTGCAGAAGGCACTGAAGGAGAGTGGAGTAAAGTGGAAGGGAAGAATGGCTAAACCTTCTCATCTTTTATTCTTTTATTCTCAATTGAAAGGCAATGTCGCCCTCATTTAACTCATCGTAAACCCTCTTTTTGCCTGAATTTCTGTCAGAATACCCTGGACAGCTGGAAAATTGGGTCACAGGAGAGTCCTTACCATGGGGAATTTTATAGCGTGGTGAGCGAACTTCAAAGTGGAAACAGACTCACCCTACCACTACAAGGAATTGAATGCAACCCATATCTGAGTGAGGACGAAAGGTGAATAACTGCGGGCGCGGGTGAAAAAATCCAGACGAAAGGAAACAAGACACTCAAAGTCGTTTCCACTGCAGACGCTGGGGCTTGCCAGGGGCTAGGTTTGGCGCGGCGCCAGCTCGTTCTCCACCAATCATTGAAGCGGGCAAACGACAGCTATTGGTGGAAACATTAGACTGGCGTCGCGCCCAGCCCTCCCCTTGACACGCCCTGGCGTTCGCAGCGAAAACGACTGCGTGTATATTGGAGGAAAGGAGGGTGGTGAGGGAATACACAGCTGTGGCCAGAACGCCCCTTGTCGCTCTCCGAAGTGGGCTGCATGCACCTGTGGACACAGCGGCCTGAGCTTTGGCTTCCCTTTGACTCTTCGAGTACAGGGTCTGATACATATTGTTGACCCTAACAGCGCCACAATGCTGAAGATTTGCGGTTATCCCATCGGACGCCCACGAGTTTATAAGAGAGCCACGCTCTCTAAAAAAGGTAAACGCCTTTCAGAGAAATAATTCAATTATTCTAAAAAGCCTTGACTAGATTTACATACGAGTGGGTGATAATATTCTTTTTCCAGCTTATTTTGAGCTCTGACCAAGGACGAGTCCAGTCCCGATCAGTACAACGCCCTAGGAGCACGCTGCTTCAGCGTTTTCTTGAGCTTGAGTCACGTGGTCCCAACGGTCAGACTGCTCATGTTCAGGTCAACTTTTTTGAGCACTGCACTAAGCACTTGCCACGGAAGCACTTTAAACACAAACTAAACGACAATAACAAATTAATTAAAATTGCCTAATGGTGAACTATGAGAACATTTGGTCCTTTGCTAAGATTGCAAGGGTGCCAGGTTCGTCACCCCTCCTAAAATGAGTGATTCACTAACAA